ATAGGACTAGTAACAATAGTCGTTGCAGCAGAGGGTGTCGAGCAGGAACACGGGGGCAGCAGGTGACCCGCAGCCACAGATCCAGACTCCACAGCTCCAGAGCCAGAAAACCTGCAGGAAGTGATAGGAGGAGAGAGGAGAGGGACGAGAAAGCACAAGACTACCAGAAAGGGGAGAAGTTGTGTTGTTTTTTGTTTATACATTGGGTGTCGCTCTAATATTACCTGGGGTCAAGGTTATATAGGTAGCATCCAAACTGTTGGGGGCAGGTGTTTTGACCCGGAAGGGCAAAGGGTTTTTGACCGCTGTGGCGCATTGGCGCGGGAACCTTTTGTTTGACAGTCGATTGTATGTATATGGTTTTGCCGTTGAAACTGGATAGGCTAAATGGACATTTTACTCTGCACGATAAAACAAATAAACTTATTAATCAGCAACACAACAAATTCTGGAGATTCTTAAATGATACAGTACGGTAACACAAAGAGAAAGGAACAGCGCGTCAGCCAGGGCACTCCTGGGCGAAATCACCTCAGTAGCCCTCAGTATTAGACTGAGCTACTACACTTCCTCTTATAACACCTCTAACTCCTAACCTCTAACATGAACTTCTAATCAGTTTGCAGACAGTCGGTCCCTTCAGTGCCTCAGCTGTGAAGAAAGTTAAAAAATGTAAAATAAAAAGTCAAAGTAACGTGATGTGTTGCAAAGAGCAGTGCTGTCCCATTATAGCATTTCGAGCCCTTGCAGCCTCTCGCACTTAAGCACTTACCAGGTGACATCAACCACAGTAAGTCTGAGAGGGTTCAGGGTTTTAGGCTTTAGGGTAGAGACTGGGAATTGGGTCAAAGTCTGCAGAGATGCGAACCTACAGAAAGTGTGCTTAAATGGCTCAAAAAGTCTGCACAAGAGACCTCATGCACTTGATGATTTGACAGTGGGACAGCCCTACGTCCTAACAGACTATCCAGGAAAGCACCTCAAAGTCCTGTGAGTGTGGAGCTGGAGATTGGGCCTGGGATTCAGCCAGTGTGCAACAGACTTTGAGGTAAGTTTTCTCTCGTTTGGTGGATGTGTCAGATGTGTTATCCAATCAGCAGCAACAGATTAGTAAGGTCAAGTGCAGTGCCTTTGCAAAGGCTACAACAGGGTGTTCAAGGCGCCACCGTTTACGTTGAAATAAACGTTTTGCTAAGTTTTTTGTTGGGCTGAACTTGGCTGCTTTCTCAGTTCAGTTCTGGCAGGATTTATGATTACTTTTAAATTCCTATAAATCAAGATTCCCCTCTTGGTCCTTAATAAAAAGACCTGGTTAAAATTCCTGCAGAGTTTTTTGGGTCCCTTCAGGACTTCCAATGCACTTTGTTCAAAAGGTCAGCATCAGAGCCTCGAACGCCTCCTTGTGGACGAATAAAAAAGCCTGTTTCAGTTGTTTGGTTTAGTAGTGTTAAGTACCAATTAAGGCCGTGGCCAATCAGAGGACACCAATACCTGCTGGATCCTTCATGGTCTTTAGTAGTGTTGCTGATATCAGCTCCCAGTTAGAAGGATGTATTTTATCTCCCTTCAGTTATTAAATCCTGGATTTTTTTGTTTAAGAGACTTTTTATGGTCTAAGAGATCATAAGACTGTTACGGTAAGTCCTGACAAATAATTCTGCTGAGAGGTTTGCGTATATTACAGTTGTTTTTTTTTCATGCCTGTGGTTTATGTGACCTTAAGTTAGGAGTTACAATCCTCATTTATTGGATTCAGTGTATGTAATTCAACTCAGCTATAGTTAAAAAGCTTTAGTGCAGCACTTTTGCTTTGTAAGCACTCTGTTTTATAATTTAATCCGGTTAAAGCTATATTTTCTGATTAGTGTAGTTAGCCTAGCTTCATGTAGCCTAGGTGGAAAACTGGTAGCCTAATTTGCACAATTGGTAGGCCTGTAACACAGGGCCCGTGAAATAGGCGGTAGCATGGCTGAAAATGTGAGGGGGCCGCTGCAAGAGAAAGTTTTTGACTTTGCATGAATCAGCCGCGCACGCTGTGAAAGTAACCATTTCGTGCTGTATTAACATCTACAAACTGAGCTGCACTTTGTCAGAGATTCTGAAGTTAACACATTTGTGTGGATATGTGGTGAGATTTGGTGTTTTCAGTAAGTTTCGATATCCACCTGCTTGTGGAAACCTGCATAGGGCTCCAACGCTGCCAGGGCCGGGGATTCTGTCGAAACCTATCGAAATGTGCTGCTTAGCGTTTCTGCGCAGAACTCACAAACGTTTCCACACAGCCATAAATCTGTGCAACATTGCAGTCCGGCATGCAACACCACCAGTGTATACCTTTTTATATAGCCTGCAAAATTGTAAATGGGAACACACAAGGTAGCTTTTTACGACAAGGCAGCATAAGAGTAATAATTAGCCTTATATGCTACTTTTAATTATGTGTCAGAGACTAGGCTTCAGTTCACAGATAATGATCTGAACTAAGTCTCATACAGAGCGGCTTGCGTTAAATGTGAGTGGTAGTTTATAAAGCATAATTTGAGAACATCTCTTTCTTCAGGTGTTTTGCCGAGTTCTGCTTTCCCGCGTAAATTGCACGCACTTTGCGGGAACGCGCACAATTAAGGAATGTTAACCTTATTTCTACGAAGTTGGTGCGTGTAAAAAGTATCGATCACTCCAAACGTTCATAAAATATATACATACAATCATTTATCACCACTGATGAACCCCGCAAACAATATTGCATCCTTTTTACAGCGTATGTATACAGTTGTCGTGGCCGAGTGGTTAAGGCGATGGACTAGAAATCCATTGGGGTCTCCCCGCGCAGGTTCGAATCCTGCCGACAACGTCAAGTGTTTTTTTTCTGTTATTAATTAAAATTGTTTTACTTTATTTTCACTACCTTACTCTCACTCAAGCCTGTACGTTAGTGTGAATTATGTTAAATTTCGGGTTAAGCAAGATTCTGTTCTAATGCGAGGCCTATCAAACAACACTACTTCCTTTTCATATTTTCAAAATAAAATCCTTACTAGGTAGGTATGGGCAGCAGTGACATAAATATAAAATATATTATTGGCTGCTCAGCTCTGCCGTTCTGTACACTTGTGGTTACTAATGTATTTCCAGAAAGAAACAAAAACAGCTGTCAAATCTTGAAAAGAGCTGGGCCCCTGCCACTAAACCTCACCTACATTTTGAGGTTGATGTGATGCTACATCCAGTGGTAAAAGAAATACTTACAGCTTTAAGTTAAAGTAGCAATTCTACAGTGTAGAAATATTCTGTGCTATTAATGTATTAACACATAAATACAAAATAGTATGCTTTAAACAATAATGTGTGTCTAATATGTTCAATCCACAAAAAGTATGCTTTACTAAAATCCTTAAAAAGGCATATACTCCTTCCAGCTCATTAAAGCAAAATACACAGATTTGCTGATTAAGAAAATATGCAAAATTATTATGACAATGGGCTCCTGAACATATCTAGAGTCACCCCCCCAGTCCTGCCGCCAGAGAAAACTTCCTGGAGGGACATGTGACTTTTTTTTAATCTCTAATTTCATTTTGATGCATGGTTGGTTAGAACTAAGGGACAGATTGTGGATTTGTTCCATTAAAATGTTGTGAGAGGGCTGCTTTTGTCATTGTGAGTTTCTTGCACGCATTGTAACTGGAATTGAATCCCTTTTTGCGCTGCAGAGGTTGTGCGACTACCACACACACCACCTGTGTGACTCTTGGGATTCCTGTATAATAATATAATGACACATTCTGTTTTTCTTTCTATCGTGTGCTGTATGTGGTGTTACTGCAGGTGTGAATATAATGTGAAGCCTCCTTTTTCCTTAACCTGCTCACGTTGTTCAGTTTGTTCATCATGTGCACCATCCTGACCAACTGCTGCTTCATGGCCATGTCTGAGCCGGCGTACTGGGCCAAATACCTGGAGTAAGTACACCTGTCTGTCTGTCTTTGGCCAGTTGTATCCCTCACTCAAAGCTCAGTCAACTTTGGGAGGGGATTCCCACACACTGTCTAACTGCTGTTGAATGTAGTGCTGCCAGGAGATGCCAGTACACTGTGGTCTGATGGTGCAAAGGCATCCAGGACAAAGAAAGGAACTTGTAGGTGACTTACATAATCTTTTCCTAAACCTAACCAAGTGGTTTTGTTCCACAATATTCACCACGTGTTAAATGTCACTTGCATAATGTAATTTGTAAACACTGGTAGTACATGAACGTTCATATATGTCGTTGTAATTTTCTTTAAAGGCCATATAAGTAGTTTTGGAAATGGTCGTATATGACTCTTGATAATTGACTTATTTTGTAATTTAGGTATGAGGATGTGTTGTTGCAGAAAATTGTTCCCCATGAAAATTAGGATTGTCTTAAAATGTTGTTTAAAAACTTTGCCAGTTAAACTATATTAATACCTTGATACCACAAGGGGGACTGGTGAAAATGTGTATTTTTGTGACCCTTGAAAGTATTATTTTTCTTGCTGGATCAATTGTCTCCTCCGCTACTATTTGTGCACTTCAAGTCTCTATATCACACTTGTATAGGTTGTAAACTGGACCAGGATTGGCTTCCAAACTATTTGTGATCACAAATCATGCTCGTAGGTCCACTCCTTAAAATGTGAGAAACTAAACAATTTCAAAAGAGTTTTGTAAAAACATCCTTCTAATGTCATGTTCTAGGGCAGACATCATTCTGCACAGTGAAGCTCAAACATCCATAATAATAGCTTTATTTATTAATGCATATGTGTATAAATTGCTATAATATTGCAGCTGTTCAGCTAAATGCGGGGCTAATTTTAATGTATTTATATATTTTTTTAATATAAATATTTCCTGTAGAACTAAAGATCAAGTTTCATCCAACACTACCTTCATTTTCCCGACATCTTATTTTGAAGGCGATGTTGCACCGTTTCGCTCTCCTCTCTCGTTACTCAGCAACGGTGAACGCTCTGAGTTAGCCGAGGAGCTTTCGGTTAGCCCCGAAGCTAGCAGGCCACATACACAAACATGGACGATGAAGATCTGGACGAGCTGCTCGATGAAGTTGAAAAGAAGTTTTGCAGCAACGTTTCTGTCGCGTCTTCAGCTCGCGTGGACTCGAGCGATGCTGGGAAACGCGGGAAAGACAACGAAGGACAGAGAAAACACCGGTAAACAAAGCCAAACTGGCTAGTAGCTAATATCTGCTGTATAAACTAACGTTTAAAAAACAGTAGGATGTGCAGTGTGGCTGCACGTTTGCACCCCGTACAGTCTGTGGTTTTCACATTACTTTAACCTCTGTGTTGATCATGTCAAATGAGCTGTATGTTCTGGGCATTAAATGGTTAATAACATGTATGCTAATTGCGCTAACCTTACAAGCTAAGTAAAGATATAACGTTATGCTTCATTGTAAGTTATAAATATACAATCAAATGCAGTTTAGAGCAAAACCGCGTAAAAAATAGCGTATATAAATAAGCATTATTAATTATGCTTAAGATTTGACTTTATGAATGTAGACTCTCTGTTGGTTTCCAAAATCCCCAGAATAAAGTACTGCCTGCCCAAAACATTGATGAATAATACAAATAGAGGTTTAATGTCAAAACTATCTGTCTGTACAGCGACTACAACAAAAAGACAATAATTCATAATTTTGCTTCCTCTGATATAGCGCCACAAAACCCAAACAGCCGATAAGCAGCGTCTCTGAGGATATTGACGCCCTTCTGGAGGAGTTACTGGAGGAAGACTACAGTGATTCACCTCAAGTAAAGGTGAACATTGCATGGAAATGAGAACTTTTCAGCCACCTCTCAGATAAAGGGTAGGGTGTCCTGTGTATATAAGTGCACCTGTGACGCACTGTCTACCTGCACGGAGTGCTGGGAAGAAAATAGTTCATTAAAAGAAGCAGTTAAGAAGAAGTTAAAGTATTCAAAAAAACACTTCTCATTTGGTAAAAAGCTCCATTTGGATACTGGTGCTGGAGGGGAAAAATCTTTGCACTAAACTGTTAAGTATTAATAATTTAAGTACTCTTTGTGTAAACCAATCTCTAGTTTTACTTACACAGGGCCCTGCAGTGTTTTACAGCAGAGGTGGACTACCTCGACTTGAACTAAGTCATAAAAATGAGTGTACTTATGATAAATAAAACATCTTTAGTGGTAAAAAAAAGGAAACCCTGACCTGTATTAAGTATTTCAATTTTATATCTGGTGTAACTTCTCAAAATACACCTTCTTTGAACTCTAACAATTCAAAGTTAGAAAATTAAAGGGCCCCTGTGGAGTTTTCTTGTATACAAACAAATGTTGTGTTTACATTCAGTTTATTTACCTAAACGATTGAGTGTATCCTTGAACAAATGTTTTCTTCCTCATAAAACATATACAAAGTCAAGTATTTTAAATCCAGCATAGTTTACAACCAATCTTGACTAGCATGCAAGCATATCTCGGCGTTTTACAGCCACCTGTTGACCGGTGGAATAGTGACGCCAATGGTAAGATTAATAAAACTATATGAAAATAGATATACTTACCCAAAGTTATACTTTTGCACAACACATGAGCACATCTCCAAGTCTGTACCTGTATTATGAAAAACAAAAACAGACACTTGGACTTGCAAATATGACTAATACCATATGAATGTTGTATCTGGTGTTTTATTATGTGACTACATAGATCAGAGGCATGTTGACCAATGCAGTTTATAATACATCTGTTCAGGTTTAAACTAATTAACATGAAAATGTATCTTTTTACCAGGATGCGTTCGTCTGTAATTTGCTGTTTTTACTTTTCATTTCAGACTGAACAGTTTCCTAAAGGGACACAAGACAAGAAGAAACTGTCGTCTCAGTCTGGAGGGAGAAAGTAATTAAATTAATTGATTCTGAATATAAAACATTCAGGTGGGAATAGTAATTACGGAGTATAAACAGATGGAGAAAATGCACTTAGCCATTTTGAAAGTTTTGTTGTAGCTTTGTATGTTTGTTCAGCCAGGCTAGGGACAGTTTGGTTCTGTTGAGTCTTTTGATTCTCTTAAATTCGGATGCTGCTTTTTATGGGTTCTCAGAGACGATCTGTTTGTTATGCATCCAGGTGCTATCCTGTTTTCGTTGGCGGGAGCTCTGTCACAAATGGTGTGGGAACAGCCACATCCAAGAGGTGTGAAAAAATAATTTCATCATCTGTCATGTCTGTGTATTTTTTTAGTTTATAAAGATTAAAGGATCATTTCTGTGTTTTTTAACCAGGGCCCTTTTTTCCACATATTTTGGTGATGAAATTAAATGATGAGTAGGTAAAGGTTTTTTAGTAGATGGAAGGACGCTGGTGGAAATGAGGAAGAGGAGTTTGTGTATGTGGAGGAGCTGCTAGCAACACTTTATTTCCTAACATTACTCCAACAGCACAAACTCCTCTCTCACACTCTGACTCTTGTTTCCACCAGCGTCTTCCTGCAACAACTTGCCTGTCATGAGATTTCAGAGTGAGAATTGTCCTTGAGCGAGACTTCAGTGTCCTGTTAGAAACAAAGTGAGAGAATTGTTGCCTAAACCTTTTGTATCTTCTAGACTACATTTCCACACCAAAGGATGTAAAAATAAATACTTTAAAAAAAAAGTAGGGCCCAGGTTTAAAAATACCAACATTTCCCTTAACTGATCTGAGAGGCACCAAATCATCCCCATCATAGTCTTATTTGTTTAAATCAGTTATACCAAGTTGGCACTTCATATATTAATGACATACTGATAAATAATTAGTGCTGCTAAAATGTGTTTGTTTTTTATTGTATACACTACTGTAACTAATTACTGTATCAACAGGTCATGTGACCAGTTGCGTTGTATATCCTGTGACTTCCGGGTGCTGATGTTTGATGACTGTGAGTGGGACTCGTCCTGTGATTACCTGTTTCTCAGGTGAGTCTGCAGAGCTGCTGTCACTTAACAACAAACTGTGTGAGGTTTCCCCTCTTACACAGTCGATTTACTCCTCCTACTTTTAATTTTGTCCTTTTTGTTTGACATCCGACCCACCAGAGCTCTTATTGGCAAGAAAAGTTCTTGTTGTCCTTTGAATCACTGAACAGAAAATAGAGAAAAGTGTGCAGAATCTCACCTGTAACAGCCTTTTAGTGACTGTACTCTATATATACTATAAAATACAACAGAAAACATCAACGTATGACTCACAGTGCCACAAAACAGCCTTTCTTCTTTATTTCTAAGATGAATCAGTTTGCGAGACATGTTTTCAGAAGAGGTTGGCTTTCGGAGATGTTTTTCAGTTTGCTCAGAGGGTGGCAGTATTGAGCTGTGAAGTTTCTGCATTACATCCACTGAAACGTTTAATCTAAAGCAAGTGAGGAGGTGTAGAAACATATTTACAGGGCACTCTTTTGAAAACTACAAAAAAATAACATGAGTTTTGTTCAACCCTCATTAAGCCATTTCAAATTCACATGTACATTAAATGAGAAAATACTTTTTTTTCCTCCTTCTACATTCTCCACAAACCACGTTTGAGCTTTTACCTTTTAAAAAGGGAAAAAAAACAAATTCCAGTGGGGACAATCCTGCATCTGCCGACATTTGTGACTGGAACAGAAACTAGCAGATGCATTGTTCAGTCCAAAAACCCACTCTGAAACAAGTGTAGGGTAGTAATGAAGACTTTCTCTCCAGGCTAAAACAGACTGGTTACGCCACTATTTAAGAGAGTACATGACACACTTTGTCGATTCAGTAAGCTACACACTGGGCTGCAAGGGTTTGGTTTTTTTGGCCTATATTTACATTTAGGCAAATTGAGACCAATAAAAGTCTGTTGATTTAGCAGTTTGCAGTATATTCACAGATGTATGGTGAACTATCAGTGCATTACTGTGACACTAAAGAAAGAGAGAAAGAGTTATAAGGAGCTAAAAATAAGTGTAGTACGTCCGTGTGCTCAGAAATGACCCTGAGAAGGAGCTTAGAGTACTGTTTAGACACAATCAAGTACCACAGTGCCTCCATGAGTTTTGTGTCACTGCTGTTGATCACCGGCCAACAGGTTTTCTCTAATAACTACTATTTGTGTAAATATAAATATAGAGTTCTTGTTATTTTCCATCTTTATTGCTCAGCGCTCTTCCCTTGTTGTGTTTCTGCTCTGCACTTAGCAAACACCACCTGTACATCAACGCAGTGTGGGCGAGAGTCTGACGTCCTCCTCCTGGATTTCGGTTTCTGTGGGTGGCGCTCTTGTCTTTGTCTGCCCAGCTGGGATGAAGCCGTTCATCTCTTTCTGGTTTATTCCAGTAGGGAAACAAACAGGCATCAGTTGCTGTGCAGCAGAGAGGAGCTTACAAAGCTTTAGAAAACACACAGAATAGCTTTAATGAAGTGGATAATAGCTGGATCAGTGGTTTGTTAGAGTAATCAGTGGTACTCATATTTTTTTTAAAATATGTTTAACTCATCCATCCATCGTCAACTGCTTGTCCTGCGTACAGGGTCGCGGGGATGTTTAATTCATCAACGTAATAAAACAACTTAATTCACAATGGCAGTAATGACAAGAAAATCATAATAGTCATGTTGGTGAGTTTTACATTGCTTTCCATTTATAACTTAAAGAACTAAAGAGCACTTAAAGCAAGGAACTTTCCCCCATGGTCTTAAATAAAAACAACATTCAAGATGTCCAGTGTTTAAATAAAATCTTTTGAAATAAAACAGTCAGTACTCAGTTGTTAAATTAAAGTGCAGCATGATTCTTCTTCCTTTGAACAATAGTGAATGAAAAATGATCCTGTCTCCCCCGCTGTTCTTCCATCATCATTACTCTTTACAGGGAAGCCAAAATGCTCCCATACATGCGACTAAGTCTGAATAGACTTTCAACATTTCAGAGGAAGACACAGCAGACGTTCGTTTTTCACTGCAACTCTGTACCACGATTTACAGAATTATTGCTTTTAAAAAGTAAAATTGTGTGAAAAAACACAATGATAGTTAAACTTGCCTGAATTCTGAGTAACACATTTCTATAAACATTTTTAGACTGTGGGGAAAAATATGGGTGATGCTTATTTAAGTCATTTTAATATTGATCTGCAGATACCAACTTCCGATCCGATACTTGTATTTTCCTAGATAAAACAGTTGCACAGGTGAAATTCCTCTTTTTTTTTAAAAAGTATCCTCCAGTCTGTGTTGCTTCGGTGGAGCCTTTTGCCCGAGTTAACCGAGTGAACTCACTGTATTCTGCTGGGTGTTTATTTTTTAGGTACCGTATTAAATTGGTAGTATTGAACGCAGCTCTGTTACTACCGCCTCACCAAATGCTCGCATTATCAGACATTACAAGTGTCAGCTGGACTTCTTTAACAATTTAAAGTATTTCCACACTGCAGACATTTTAGCCACGTCTTGCCACAAACTGTGCTCCCTGTTTACGAAACTTGTGTGGCAGCTAACGTAAAATAAAATAAAGGATCTGGCTTAGGTTCATACTCAGTAAAGCTGATATAATCAGTTGAAAAATGCCTTGATTGGCCCCAAGTTTGAGATCAGATTGGGACATCCCTAGATGCAAACAGTTGATGGTTTTCGAACCGTGTAGAGGTTAAATATCCAGCCTCACCTTTCCATTGAATTGAGGAAATTTAATTTCCTAGCACAGTATAAAACCATCCAGAGATCATGTGGCGGCACTGCACAGGTGATGTAATGACTGGTTGATTGAAGTTATAGTAATAATCCAAGGAAGGTTAAAATCCATGGCAACTGGACTTGGTTGAAGATACTTCCTGGGAGATAAGTCGACACCACTTATACCTCGAGAAGCCTCTTGGATGAGAGGTTAAACGTATTCAAGTATCTTCAACCAAGCCCAGCTGCCCTTGATTTTAACCTTCTTTGGATTGACTGTGAATGACAGAGAAGCTTACAGACATCTTAGAGTGATGATGGTCCCAGCAGGAGGAACAAAGACTAATTCCTGGTGACACAGTGTCATTTGTTGCAGTAACATCGACTGACAGGCCACAGCAGAAAAAACAAAAACACTGGATGATGGAGGGATGTGTGTGTGTGAGATGAGATCTGTCTTCCATGTCTGATCCTATACCAGAAGCTCTGAAGAGTTTCATGGTAGTTTTGTTTGTTTGCTGTGTAATAACACAAAGAGGATGTGGTGTGTGTGTCTCTGGAATAACACACCTGAATAATTCTAAATTTTAGAAAGACATGAATGAAGAGGCAGTTAAAAAGTATTTGCAAAGAAAAAAGTAATGAGATCTGTAAGTGCGTCAGATGTTTTGTTTTCAGGCTGTTTCTCTTTCCCAAGTTGTCAGAAATCTCAATAATTGCACTATAAAATCAGGATTGGTTATGTGCTTTTACATTTTTGTTATTCTATTTGTTATATTTTTCTCCCCATCATGTTCCATCTCATTTAAAGGCAATAATGCACAGTGTCATCCCCGCTAATTTAAATATCCTGAAATGAAACACACTCAGACGCCCCACAGAGTCAGTTTAATAAGCCGAGATAAATGAAGGTTATGCTTTTTATTCACAGAGAGATGCTTTTTGTAGCTCTGGTTGTTTGCTGTTGTGAGTTGCAGGTTGGCGTTGGTTGGACTGTGCACTTGTTTCTAATGAGTCTAAATCTAAAAGGCAGTGTCCACCAGCTTCATGACCTTGGAGCCTCATTCACAGCTCTTTTCTCCACTCTGCTGTCTTTATGCCCCAAATCTATTTTTGCCGAAACAACTTGGATCTCTAAAAGGTGAGATTCACATGTGAACAAGTATAAAATATTAAATAATATAAATAAAATGTTGAATTCTGGTCATATAGACCTACGCTCCGGTGCAGTTACAATAATTTTATGATACCACAGTTTTGATAAAATAAAACAAATACAGGTTAATGACTACAGAATTGCGCGTGATAACATTAACATATATAAGAGAGATTCAGATCAGGACGGCAATAAAAAATTGTTTTCATTATCTTTTAATCTGTCAATTATTTTCTCGATTAATCAGTTGGCTATTCCAGAAAATTGTGAAAAATGTTTCCAAAAGGAAAGAAAGAAACCAGAAAATATTCTCATTTAAGAAACTGAAAAGCAAAAAGCGATTAATCAATTATCAAAATAGTTAACGATTAATATAATAGTCTTTTCAGAGTGTGGACTTTTGGACTACACAATTGTACTGAAACTACAGTACTGTAGTTTGTACTCAAACTACACAAAGTTTGAGTCTGTTAGTATGTTTAGTTTTAAAAGTGAGTTTTGTTAACCTTTCTGTTTTTTATAATTTGAACTGTGATTACACTTTAGTGTAGTTTATTTTTAATATTCAGGATGTATTTAATAAACGATTAAACATGTTAACAGAATAACATAACTTATATGTCTTGGGGCCAGTAAGTTTCAAACCCACTGGCCCGATGGGGCCAGTTGCAAAAGTTTAACGTTGAGCCCTGAAGAAAGTTAGAGCAGACGAAAGGTTGTTCTCTTAAACAGTAACTTTGTCATCTGCAGTGTAATAGCATTAAACTCCATCAAAGTATGTCAAAGGCTGTTGAGAAACTAATTGAAATCGATGGCGGTGGTCGATGTCTACTTTAGTTAATGTCAGAATACTTTTTTGATACCCAAGGGGAATTCTTTGTTACAGATACTCGCAAGGCATAAAAGGAATAGAAATAATAGTAGCAGTTGGTAAGTAGAGGATATAAATAAGTGTAATAATCTAATAATAAATGATGATAAATGTGGATATTTACTAGGGCTGTACATGACTATAATTTTTCAAGACTGTTAATCTAACGACTAATTTTGTGTATTCTAAAAAAAAAGTTGCCTTTTACTCGATTACCATACCAATTTATAATTAGGCTACTGTACTTCAAACTTTAAATGTTTCTGACATGGATTTATTTCAATATTGAGTAATGCAGTATGATAATCAAATGTATTTCTACATCAGTGTGGGACAAAGAAAACAACTGAAAGGATTCACAGACTGTACTGTTACTGTTGTCTGTAATGTTAGATTCAACTGTTTTTTTGCTCATATGTGGTCGTTAAATAAACAGACGGTGTAACAGTACGTTACCATGACAGCAGCGGGGCAGAAATACTGAAGAAATACTTTTTAACGGACTACGTGTCCTCGTGCTTATAATGTGCCGTGCTTGTGTGGAGACAGAAAGTAAACAGGATTTGCAGTGCTGCCGTCAGTGCTGCGGGATACTTTCGCTTAACGTATTCGTGGACAGCAGTTGTGCTGCAGTGAAGCTATTTCCGGTTCACAGAGCTCACAAAGCAATACATTGTGGAGTGTCTGTCTAAAATTCTCCCAGACTTTAGACGGTCGAAGGTGCGGTCTGATAGATGGAGCTTGTCCGGGGGAATCCCACTGATGCAGCGACGCTTCGACGCACTTAATGAGAGTCGACGAATCGTCCCAGACCTAATTTCTACAGTATTAACAGCAATATAGAGCCGGATTATAAAAATGTAACGTTAATCTTGATTATTTGAGGATTCGTGCGTTTGTTGTTGGACAGGAGATGAAACTATGCAGAAGGAGAGCAGGAGAGGAGAGAATAGTGTAGAAGGAAAAGTATGGTTCCCCCAGTAAAACGTGGCCATTTACGACACTGATCACACGCCAGCATAAAACATATATATTAAGACTGCTGCCATTTCAGCAGTACTTTGGTTCAGAGCACTCTGAAACACTCAGGGACACTCAGGATGATGAGTTTGTCCTTCATGTGTTTTTATGTGAGAAACTTCAGCAGAGCTTTGACCAACCTGCTGCAAAAGGCAAAATAACTTTATAAGAACAGACGGAGGATGGGCGAGATGTATGTTGTGTGCTGGTACAGCCTCCAAATCAGAATTAGAGAGCTCTCCACCACACGTTATTTTATTGTTCAGTTCTTCTCTTTAATGATTGATGTACATGTACCGTCGGAAGTTGATGCTATAATTTAATTTCCCTTGACCTCTGTCTGGCGTGGTTGGGTTTTAGTAATTTTGTCAGATTACTAGATTTAAAAGTTTATCCATAATTGTCACCTTGTGTTTCTGCCTGTTTGCTCTGTAGTTGTTGCATCTGAATGGAAAGTGTACGTCCATTACTGAAGCTACCCACACATTTGTTTTATTATTTAATGTTATATTTTAATGAAGAGGCTTACCCAACCTACCCCAGGTGTTTCAGCCTGTCAAGAGAGCTCTTAGTGGTTTCATAAAAGCAATTATGAATGGAGTATGTGAATTGCTCTTAGACTTGTTGATGGTGTAGGCGTGATTACTTGAATTAAAATGTAGCTGCCCAAGACTAGAGCTCTTTTACCTTCTTAACTAGAAAGTATGAAGTGACTTTGCTTTTATTTTACAGCACCAATCCAGATGCAAAGCGCTAAATGCATGTGCACTAAATGTTAAGCGCAATTGAGCTTAACTTTGACTCTGGAGGTGCTTGCTCAGTTGCACTATCATAAATTTTAATTCAATAAAGATTTCTGTGGATGAATCCAGGGTTCAGCAACTTTTACTAAAATCAAATTGGGATGACATGATATTATGTTGTTGTTTAACAATTATTAAATAACTATACACAATAAACTAATGATTCCAAGATAATTCTGATAATAAGAGTCTACAGCCAGACTAGCAGCTCTGTGAGTCTGTACTGTACAACGTCAGATGTACTCTTGTACCCAATTCCATACCACGGTAAAAAACAAAACAATTAATCCCATGTACTTCAACACACACTCCTTTAAAAAACAAACAAACAAAAAAACCAGCTGTTAAAGTTGTGAGAGGTTTTCCAGGACGGATGAGAGGTGGTTTGGTGTCAATATATTCATAGATGAGGAAGCTGTTGAAATTACAACCTAACAGTGTCCATAAATAATTAATTACTTCATTTATTTCCCTAACCTTTTTTTTAATATGCTTACAGGTTTGAAATGTTTAGGGGTGGCCACTATCTATACTGGCAGTGGTTTAAGATTTCTTCAAGTTATTGACGATTGAAATTGGGTGTACTGGGACTGAAATTCAGCCCGGGACTTTGAGATGGAGAGGCCTTTTATGCGAGCGTTATTTTAACACATGTAGTGTTGTACTTGTATACAGTCAATGAGATTATGCTGAAGACCTTCATGAAACTTTGGGATGACACCTGCCTCCTCAGCCAGAGCTAGGGGTGCAACAACAAATCAACGTAGTCAACGAAAACTGATTATTAAATTTGTTGCCAACGTCATCGTGGCGTAACTGCACCGTCAGCTTAACGGAGTAAAGTGATCACAGCGCTTTTCATAAAAGAGCAGGTCTAGACCATACTCTGTGATGTTATTTACAGAAGCCCAACAGTTCCCACCAAGAGGAAGCACTAGGCGACAGAGGCAAGTTCGTTAAAGTATGGACCTTGTAAAAGGCCATAAATGAGCTGTAATTGCACATTCAAATCAAAACGTCTGAATTCCTGTCTGATTTCAGGTTTGGCTCAATGAGGCTTTTTTGTGCGCCTTGGGATGATACATGTACCACAAACGTTTTGTGCATCTTGGTGATTCAGTGCGCATAGGCTGCATCTTTGAAGATACACTTCCTGATTCCAGCAGGTGGCGCTATGAGCATCAAAATTTGATGCCACGCCAAGGACACACGGTTATCTGAAAACTGACAAGATTCACAACATAGCATCATTAATGTCTTAAGGCTCTTCTGAGACTGTTTTGAAGAAGGTGAGGCAAATATGTTGGGAGTAGTACATAACAGCGTAAAACTTGACACTTCCTGTTGCCAGCAGGTGGCGCTATGACATTGTGTATTTGTTGGCATGTAGATGTGTTCAGGGCGGGACTCATCCTACATGCACAGTTTGGTGCAGATCTGAGCATGCACACTGAAGTTACAACAACTTCCTGTTTCACAGCGAATTATTATTTACACATGTAAATAAACGTGAGCTGAACAAGAATCTAACACGGCTTCCTGTAGCTCCTTTTTGTGACTTTGTAGATGTGAAATGCTATCAGAGCCGTAACCGGAAATGAGCGATGCTGCACACGAAACAGCTGTTGTTTGTTATTATAAAGATAACAGTTATAAAGACAAAGAATCTGGGTGAAAGGATGGATTAGTACACGCAGGCAGCAGGGATTGTCTGAGCTACAGAGAGATGGAGGGGAGTTAAAAGGTGCAGCTCCCGACACCCAGTTAATTCCTGACTGTGAGGTCACAACTCACGGCCCAAAAAGGAGAACAACAAACTCACGTGTGCACATTTTCACCTGAGGCCTGCGGCTTACTTTGGCTTCAACTCAACAATCAATCAGGATTTCAAGTAGCTGTTACTGTTACCTTGTCTGTGGTCCGCTGGCAGAACACCGGCTGCTTTGATCAGCTGCCGTCGTGCTGTTGCCGAGGCGACATAAGTTTCGTTTTACGGTGGACGGACTGTAACATTACAGAGTTGTTGTTTTCATTAACTTGAAATAATCCCATACTTTGGACACTTTCTTCTTTGTCCCTTGCTGTTTTCTCTCTCTTCCTCCACTTTGCAAACAGCTCCATTATAATCACGTCGTGTTCACAGCGTAAACGTGATGTGCGACAGTAATAAATGTCCCTGCGAAACACTGTGCTGTATAGCTACATGGAATAAACGAAGCATTGATGCAAAGAATTTGTGTCGAAGCATTTCATTTATCGATTTAATCGATTAATTGTTTCAGCCCTACATTCAACAGCAGCTCTCTGTATCAGACGGCATGATTTATGCATGGTGGTTAAATGGTTTCACATAGCTTTGGTTAGAATGAAAGAGTGCTGGTAAAGGAATGAACTAGATGTGAATATGCTACATTGAAATTATGTCAGATTATGTGTAAAGTGAAATACACGTGGTTCTCTCTCACTCTCTCTGCTGAAAAAGTTGCACCTTCCAGTAGCAAATATTTATTGATGTCTACAGTCTCAAAAAGTGAACATGTAATCTATCTTATTAACATAATATCGGCATCGGCCCCCAAAAACCCAAATCGGTCGGGCTCTAATAAAGACAGTCCCTAACTTTGCATTGCAAATGCAAACTGCATCGTCATCTTTGGTGATTTTCAGGTGATCAAAACTGTGAAATGTCTGCCTAAATTAGCTCTCCAGCAGATCCCAGCACTGGGAGAAATCAAGGCTTTGACATGGAGACATGGAGGTAATGGCCACAAAAAATGACCAAAGTGTCGGTTCTCATGACATCCCTAGGACCCACCAACATTTTGAAATTGTGGGCCTTTTTCACTATTGTGACATTTAAAATGTCTAAAATGTATGTATTATTTAATACATTTATCAGTAGAATAATTGTTTTGATTTGAGCAGTTCTAAGGGCTGTATTTTGCACCATGAAACAAAATGTGTGCATCTCTTCATGGCTGAGAGCTAAGTTAATTTCCTTCTTTCTTTTATTGTCTGTTTCATCTCCACACCACAGCTATTTCTCCTCACAGCAGATATGATTTACCGCTCAGTGCACATTGTTAAATGTATCTCTTATTGAATCTGAAGTGGGAAAATGAATTTGTGGCTGCTGAGCAGAGCACTAAGGAGCTCTCTGCAGGGCTGCAGCAGAGAACACTTAACAAATCTTATCCTAATTATTATTCACTACATTCTGTCTGTGTAGGAACAACATGCCGGACTGCCAGAAGCTCAGAGACAAGCTGAAGAAGAGGAGAGGTTTCCGGGCGTACGCCTGCCAGTGCAGCTGGTTCTCCACGTTGGAGTCGACGGACCTCCGGGACCAGCCTGAACTCCGATGGGTCTGTGGCAAACACCAGGGCTGATATTCATGCCTCACTGCTGCAAGATGGCAAAACTGCCTTTTGCTGCTTATCTTTTCTCTCTGTCTGTTCATCTGTTAGGCTGAGTTCTGTCCTTTAGTCCATCCATCTGTTCAGCAGACTTTCAGAAACATTAGAAAAACACCAAATCCATTTTCAGACAGAAAAATCTGCAATGAAAAGGACCTTCAAGTAGGAGACTTTGGCCAAATATATTTATAAGGAACAGTTGACAGCTACCAATAACATTGGCGATACAGAACAGGTTGTACTATATGATGAGTATGTATTATTTAAATTAAATTACAGGCAAATATGCATTGTTGCCTTTTAGATGATGGTTCACCATCCACAGTATGTTTGTCAGTGGGTGCTGACATTGTCGTGTGACCTCAGACAGTTACCTCTTCCTGAAGATGAATGTACACAGAGTTCACAAGCAGGAACTCACTTTGGGTGGCGTTGAGTTGTACTTTTTCTAGTTGGAGGTCATAAAAGGTTTGAGTTCCGAGTTCTCTTGAACGCAGCATCACTTAGCTGCTAGGATTGCTAAATTAGCAGCAAGGCTAACTGAGCTAATTGCAGTTAGCAGCAGTTATGGCCTGATATATACATGAGAGTGAATTATAGAGGGGGAGAGTCTCATCTCTTACACATTGTACCTTTTTTGTAAATGGTTAATCTGAACCACTAGAAAGCAGATAAGTTTAGAGTTTTACTGTAAAAGTATGGAACATCTGCAGTGACACAAGAGCGCCCTTCTGATATCATATCTATATATTCTGACTGACAAAGAAATCTGAGAGAATCCTGTTTGCAGCTCTGTAGCATAACTTGTTTTTTTTAGGTTGTTTTTTTAGGTTGCTTATTGAATCTCCTCACTTGTGATTTCTCTTTTGTATCACTGGAATCATTTTCTGAGCTGTGGTTACTATAAACTGCAGCGGTCATTGTTTTCTTGCTCCAGTTAACACAACTTTGAGTTGAATCTGTTGTTGCATCTGTTTTAATCAATCCGCTCCTAAAAAGGAGCACAGGTCTCTCCTCCTTCTGGTGAAACACCACAGGACCTTTATTTTGGAAAAAATATGTACGTAAGTCAACTGCAAGATACAACACCTTTGTTGATCCTGTTTGAATTGTGCCCTGAATTACACACAATGTTTTTCAATTTAAATGATAATTTTGCAGAGAAAGACAGTTTGTCATAAAAAACAGTAAAGTTACATTTAGATTTATGTGAAATCACTCAATGAACATCATCTCTCAACTCGCAGAACATACTACATCACCAACATGTTTGTTGTAAAAGTATAAGTCTGTGAAAACACGTAATTACAAAGAACACAAACCCAGAAGTCGCTCGTGTATGTAACGTCTTAACTCTTTCCATGACTGAAGATAACGTCAAAGCGCTTCCATGTGTAGATGATGTGATGAAACAACCAGCAGTCTTTGGGTGATGGCAGAACAAAAATGTGCTTGAAAGTTTTCGTAGTAGCTGGCGAGGCCAGCCGCCCGCTCACAGAGCCCTCTGCTCCCGCCGTCACACAGACCGCTGCAGCAACAACGGCAGAGGAAAACACAGCTGGAAGCTTTTCATACCGCTTATCTGTCTTTACATTCTGAGGAATGTTGAAACGTTTTAACATAAATCAAGAGAAAGCTGTGTGGATCGCTGGTGTGTGTGTCGCATTGAAAATTACATCATGGCAGTTGTGTGTGGCGTCGCTATGACGACCAGCTACACTGAGGGGTACTATCTCTGGGTACTATCTGCAATGGAAAATGGAGCACGGCCAAGTCGAGGCGAGTTGAGCTGGTTCAGTTAATGGAAAAGCTACAATGTCCTGGGTTTGACACATCAAACCACCATGCGGACTGTCCTGCTTTTTTATAATACGTCGCCCAACTTCTTCCTTTGCTACCGTCGTACGGCCACTGGAGGTTGTTGCCACAATAAACCTAAATATGGGTTGTAGTGAATTAAGAAAAAATTCTGGTGAAGACGGTGTCAGTGAAAATGACAAACACATTGGGTCTGATTTACTAACATCCCGAATAAATTGCATGTGCATTCTAAATTGTAGTTGCAATTTTAGTCCCTGTTATGGGTGATCAACTAAGAATTATTGCGTAGACGACAACAGGTGCAAACACAATAGAGGTGGCCGTATTTAAATGAGGGGTTTGCGTGTTTTAATGGTTTCCGCAGTGAGTGGAGAGTCGGGACGGAAGCAGACACTGCGTAAAAAGCTTGGTGTGTTTCGTTCAGTGCGTCCTGAGTATGTGGAAATTGTATGTACCTGCCCATCCTGCCTAAGACTGCACTTGGGACTTGTACTTGGGACAGCACACCTGAAAATCTGCTTTGGGAAACCCCAACAGATACAGTATGCTGGAATGACCCAGACGCGAGGAAATGCCAGCAGATCGTGCTTCATCCAGCCCGCACCATGCCCGGTACAGCTGTTTCTCCTGCTGGCAACAATAACAGCAGCCATCTCTGCGCAACACTTTCCGGTTTGCACCTTCCTTTCAAATGTATTAAATACAGAGGCTGTTGCTCACATGAAATTGCGTTTAGGCTTGGTCGATCACATTGCGTGTAGTAAATAAATGTATTTGCTTGTTACCCTCCCATTACTTTGCCAGTATTAAAGTCTTAAATTTCATATTACAAAAATAAGGCCTTAAAAGTATTAAATTTTGTCGTCTTAACGTCTTAAATTTGTTCTTTCGTAGGATTAAATAAATGACGTAACATCATAAACTTTTATGTGTGTGACTGAAACAAGAAATGTTAAAAAAAAACAAATGGAAATACTTGAGAGGTTTATTTGCACAATAAGAAAACATGCAATGCCATTTAAATATAGAAGAATCAAATGTGCAATGTCCAAAAAAAGCAAAAAAACAAGCTGCTGAGTACTGCATTATATTCAGTTTGAATTGCCATCTGAATCACTTTAAGACAATTCTAACATAAATTGGTGCAGAAATGTCTCCAGAAGCAGGAAATTATGTGTTTAGTGCTCAAATTCTTCTAGGGGACCCCTGTTTATATATTTCAGCAGGGAATATTTCATCAAATATTGTTAAAATATCATCTTGTCTTCTTCTTATTGTAAATCTTGCATGTGAGCTTAGAGTATCGTCACACCCCTAATTTGAACCCCTATGTCCCCACCACTTTTTAACACAAAGTGACGTCCTTGATTTATATCAAAGTACAAACACACCCCAAAAATCTATAGTGTGTTAAATATTGATGTATTATAATAGAATGTTTTATTAAATTCATGTAACTTTGTAAATAAGTTTCTCAGGCTTAAAATTCATACAGATTTTTCATTATACAGCAGTGAAGTTGGTATTAAATTTCATCCTAGGTGGTATTAAAAAAAGTCTTAAATTTAACTTTGAGAATCCTGGGGGTACCCTGTTTGCACAATAAAATTTAAAAGACAAAAGTAGTAAATGAACAGGTGCAAACAGACGCTATTCTGCGTACACACCTTTAGCTACTTTAGTAAAATCAGCTTACATGTTAATTTGCTGGTGATACACATTTGCACGCGTTTTTACTCACACAGACCTTTAGTAAATCTGGCCCCATGTGTGTAATTCAGAGCACAATTCAAACCGGATAAAATATTAGCTGTCTCTAGCTGTTGACTACCGTACATATTGTTTCTGTAAAAAAGAAGGGAGGGACTTTATGAGGAAATAAATATTTTTTAATTCCTTGGTTAAACGTTTTACTACTATGTAGTTTGTTTGATGCTAATGTGTTTTATTATTTAACTTGATACTAGCAGATTACAGCTATGGCTATAAATTCTAACAAAATCTGTATATATATGTGTGTATGTAGACGCAGCCTCACTTTTTTATATGAATGTGAAATGTGTTTATAAACATAGATAATGAAGCAGGAACTCAGCCAGTCGGCAGAGTCATTTCTTGATGTTGCATATTTTAATTATTTCCTTCTATAATTGTCAGCTAATGTCATTCATGATGTATTTTCCCTGTTAATGATCTGTATTTGATCAATAACCAACACATTATCTAAGCCCTGCTGTTAGGGTGTTAATCCCGTCAACTCATCCTGCTACTGATGATCTGTTAAATTAAAGTCACACGAAAGCTGTTTTTTATGTTGTGAATGGACAAATCTGCCCCAGTGATGTTTAGTAACAGTGATTAAAGCTTGCTGTTCCAAACACAAACAAAACCATGAGGCGTTAACAGCAGCTGTGTAATTATTCAGTAAGCGATGAGTGGGAGAGAGCTGCGTTTCCTGGCTTTCTGCCGAGGGGTGGGCAACACCGTGGTGTTTTTATTTTATAAAAACCTCATGAATCACTTGGTGGTGGGTTTTTATTTTATTTATTTTCATGAATGTCATTAAGTTTCATGTTGTTTGTTTGTTTTTTTTATTATTATTATTTAACCTTCTTTATTCAGGGAGTTTGACTGAGAGTAAACTGTCATTTGCAGGAAGGCCCTGATAACAATCCCACCGTTGCACATTCACACCTGGAAGCTGCCCAGTATAACCGCAGCCTGGTCTGCTGGCCACTGAGAAGCTCTACTGGAGCTGTTGGGGCTATGGGCCTTGCTGAAGGGTAACCCAGTGGTGGTAAATGAGGGAGGGCAAGCACTGTTTGATTTATCCTGCCGGTCCGGGGTTTGAACTGGTGACCTTTGGGAAACCACTGACCCTGAGATGAGGTGAACCACTGAGACTTTTCACAACCTCACAACAAGAGGTTTTAATCCTAAAATAAAACTATTACAAAATCTAAATTCTGAACGATAGCTCATGGTATTGTTCTGTATTTTTCTTGTCAACACGTCCTGTGAAAAGTCTGCCAGCACCGTCTGACTTCCTGTCTGTTGGTCTCTGCTCCGAGCCCATTGGTTCCTCCCTGAAGATGCAAACCTTTTTAAAAACACTTCACGTTATATGCAGTCTCATGTTTAAAAAAAGGCACAGTAATTTCCGAAAACTGCTGCTCACAGTTATCAAACAGCAGGAGGAAATAGTTTGTTGGTTGAGGGACTATTTTCAGTGGCGGATGAATCCACATGTGGCGCTCCACTTTGATACACGAAGAGTACTTGTTTGCAGATATATTCACTGTTGGGACCTTTTCCAATTTCAAATGTAATCAATTCTTTTATCCTCTGTTTATTGGTTTCCATAGAATCCAATATACAGAGGATAAGAAACGGGATAAAAATCAATATATGCTTTATAAACTATTGAACGTTTACCCTTACTGTACTGTGACTTCATGTCACACAGGAAATGTCAGAGCAGATATTGGCTGTTATATAATATAGATAATACATATTATGTAGTAGAAACCTTTAAAGACAGATTAAGTGTTTTAAAAATAAATGATTAGGTCTATATATGCCAACAGGTTAGAAATAAAATAGTAACTTTACAACAGCAGTTAAACTCAAAACAAGGCAAGCGGTACATAAATTACCCACAACCACTACTGTCTTAAGTGAAGTAACATTGGTGTAATCAGTAGCAGTACATGTACATTTTACAACAAACAACAGAAAAAATTATAATATATATATATATATAATGATATGAATAATACTTAGTGTTTGTCTGTATTAATATAGAAATATAGTACAAAATGTAATAAAACCGTATATCATATTATAGTACTTATTAATGTCCTTTATTTCAGTAAAAGTACTAATACTGCTGTAAAAAATACTAATGAAAAATAAAAGTACCTAAATTGGACTGCAACTAGCGATTATTGGATTAATGTGCTGATTATTTTCTTGGTCAGGAGTTTCCCAAATGAAAAACTTTTTAGGTAAAGATGAAAAGCATATTATCCTCACTATCATAAGAAATTTATATACATACAACTTGTGTATGGTGCTGCAAACCATCAGGTTTTTCTACAGGGGAAAATTGTTATCTAATTGATTAATGAACTAATCATTTAAGCTGTACTAATGCAAAAATCTTAATTTGTTAATGAAGTAAAGCTGTGAAACAATATATAAAAAATATATCCCCACTCAGTTGAAGTGAAGAAGTATAAAGTAGGATGAGAAGAAAATACTCGTAAATGTAGTTAGTTTTACATTCCACCACTGAGCTGTAGTATAATTATTGTATATTATATTATACACTGCTCAGAAAAATAAAGGGAACACTAAAATAACACATCCTAGATCTGAATGAATGAAATAATTAAATACTCCTTTCTTTACATAGTTGAATGTGCTGACAACAAAATCACACAAAAATTATTAATGGAAATCAAATTTATCAACCCATGGAGGTCTGGATTTGGAGTCACACTCCAAATCAAAGTGGAAAACCACACTACAGGCCGATCCAACTGTGATGTAATGTCCTCAAAACAAGTCAAAATGAGGCTCAGTAGTGTGTGTGGCCTCCATGTGCCTGTATGACCTCCCTACAACGCCTGGGCATGCTCCTGATGAGGTGGCGGATGGTCTCCTGAGGGATCTCCTCCCAGACCTCCTGGACAGTCTGTGGTGCAACGTGGCGTTGGTGG